ATATTAATTAATTACTCATTTTGGCAGTTTTTGCTCTTTTTTCTATGTGCTGATTTAGAGTGACAGGTCTTCTGAACACATAGCAGCACCCACTGAGTGTTTTGCTAGCGCTACCTAGCATAGCGGTATCTGCTAAAGAGCTAACTAGGCGAGCTTTGCAGCTGTTTAAATCAGTGTTTATTAGCCTTCCTTCTGGAGACCTACAGCTCAGCACGGTTTTAACTATTCCTTACATTAAAACACATGATCCAGCTCATCAGCTGATTATCGAGCCCTTCATGAGCGTAATCAGGTGTGTTGTGTCAGGGAATTGTTAAATCATCAGTGCTGTGGGGTCGAGGGAAATAATGCAGTACTTACCAAACGTAAACACGGTAATAAATGGAAAATACCTCTGATTACTGCCAGCTACGAGTTACAGCTGCCATGAGATAATTGATAGACAGTGATGTTTAATCACTACAAAAGGAATCAAGTCAACTTGTCATGGTTGGTCGTATGTTCTGGGTGTTATGAAGGCTGTTCTTTCAGTTTTTGTTTAGATATTTAAGCAATTTAGCTCTATTTTCAGCATGACTAGCCTAGTTAGCCCTGGAGGACACTGCTAGGCTAGTTAGTGCTAGTAGCTGCGAAGCTAGATGGGGCAGCTCCATTCATTCATAACCAACTAAGTTTGTTCTTCAACGCCCATATGAAGTTATATTGTTTTGCCCACGTCGACCACAGGGCCCAAAAACTTGTGTATCATTAATAATTTAAAAGGAATGTGATAAACATTGCACATAGTGTCAGATATGCCAGTAAAACGCTGCATTCATAGTAGCACTCAGTACGACATGTTCCACCATGCTGGGGGGTTTCGCACTGAGTGGGAACGTGTTCAGAAGACCTGTCACCTCAAAGCAGTTGGCCAATAGAGAGTGCAGATGAATGCCCTCTTCTAAGACCCGCCCCCTTTTAAAAAGAGCTAAAAAAGTGATTCCAGAAGCAAAAAAATATATCAAAAAGCAAAATTAGCAAATAGACAAAAATTAAGGCAAAAACTAGCAAAATGAGTAATAAATTTATATCAGCATGAGAGAAAATGAGTAGAAATCTTTTTGTTTGATGAAGTTATGTTTGATTTAACTCCCATTATTTGTATTTGCAACATATTTTTGACATTTTGATACTTAGTATTTTGCTTGTGGATTTTATTATTTTATTTGAAACATTTGGCACAAAATTAAATCCATAGGTGTCCCCTTTCTGTTGATGGAAAGAATAGAGGGTGACTGACAAATTCTGCCACAGCAAGTGGACTGCAGTCAGTAAATGTAGTAATATCCACAAAGTGCATCTATAGGCTAGGTGTGCTTAGTAAATTAGCAGCTCTGCTTGAAGCGTTGAAGTGTTGCAACATCCTGAGGTATGTGTAAATAGTTGGGGATACACCCATTTAAGGGTTATGAGAAGGACAGTGAGCAAAATATCCTCTCAAACCTCCAACAGCAGCAGCTACCCTCTGCCGTTTTATCTAAGAGCACACACTTTGACTTAAGATTGAGCCGCGCATGAATTTTTAAAAAGCACAAGGCGAAAAATCTCCCAACTTTCTGGCTCTCTTATATGGAAATGCTTTCCACTTCTGTACAGATAAGAACCCTTGGATGTGGACAGAAGAGGGGGGAGTCTATCACCCTACAGATTGAAACCAGGCCTAGGGTTCATTTGAATTGGCAACAAATTACAGTCCATTTTTGTTGCCAGCACGGTTGATCAGTCAGTCATTTGATGTTAAATTCTGATTGCGGTGGAGGCCTCTAAGCCCTTTTCTTACAGACACCCACTAGTCTTCCTGCAGTTCTTTCTCCTACAGTTCCTGTTCTAGTCTTATTTCCGTTAATGAAGATAATGATGGGAATAACATGAAGTTGTCTATTGCTGTGCAAAGGAATTGGGTGTCATCATGCTAGTGGATGCTATTGTAATCATCCTGCTTTTGGCAGTGTAATAGATTTAAGCGATACTTTGGAAAAAAAAATACAATTTGCACAATTTCTCCCTTACCCCAAATGTGGTCAGTCAGACAATACAGGTTTGATGTCTGTAGCTTCTTTTGTACACTAGGGCTATAAGGCTAAAGTAGGTAAGATATAATGAAGGCTATGCACCAGTTTGCATTGTTCATATATCAATTTGATACATGCCTGAAGTTATGTAGTCTCAAATAAACTTTCTTATCTGCTTTCTTACTCTATATGAAACACTGTTATCTATACAAATGGACAATACAATGCCCTCCACAAATACTGCCCCCCCCCCAGGGCAAAGATAAAACATTATTTTGGTTGCGTATTCTTTTTTATCTTTCCTTTCATGTGCAACAAAAGGTTGTTGAGCTACACAAATCAGAAAATAGATACAAGAAAATAGCTAATAACAGTTGATGTGCAATACAACTGGAGATTCTGCTGTGGCGAAAGAATCTTCAAGGATCATAGCTGGGGAATTTGCTGGCATTAGTTAGGTCTTGGGGTTAGAACGTCTAACAAACTACATCCAGATGCCACATACATAACCATAAGTTGTTTTAGAGGATTGTCAGAAGAAAGCCTCTGCTGTTGAGGACCAACAGCTCATGGACTCCAAGTACAAGCAGATATTAAATCAAAACCTGACTGATTCAGCCAGAAGCTTAAACTGGACTGTTGTTGGACCTTCCAGCAGGACAGTGATCCAAAGTATATCTCAAAAGCAACACAAAAATAGTTCACTGACCACAGAATTAAGGTTTTGCCATGGCCATCCCAGTCCCCTGACCTAAACCTCACAGAGAAACCTGTGAGATGAGCTGAAGAGAAGAGTCCACAAACATGGACCTTGGAATCTGATGGATCTGGAGAGATTTTTTTCTGGAGGAATGGTCTCAGATCCCTTGCCATGTGTTCTCCAGTTTCACCAGGCATATAGGAGAAGATTTGAGAAAAATATTTATTTCATAACAAGTTTAAGTTTTTTCTTTCAATCATTGTACATGAAATGACAGTTAGATTTTTGTTAAGATTTTGAATGAAAGTAACACTTTCTACGAATATCGTGTGTATAAGAATCTGTGAACACAGTCATTACAGGTTCACATTCAAAAGGCATGATAAACATGGCTATAAGCAATTATAAAAATGCATTACACTTTTTAGCCATGTTTATTATATACATGGATTGTTAATGCGTTATAAATAGCTTTTATAAGCATTATGTTGTATCAAAGTATAATTCTAAAGCCTCCTCCAATATTATGAGTGAGGCTTCAAGTTGCACTATTTACTGATGGATTCAATAAAACACTGCAACATACAAAGTTAAGTCTGTCTTACAAACTTGAAATGTCAGAGTTTAAACTAGTGGTGCCATAGATGGCATTTAACCCAACGTGGGAAAGTCAGTCTACAGCACTGTTGTCTTGGTGCTAACTTAACACTGCTAGTGGAAATAAGCATTACTGTAGTAATGATCATCAGACAAATAAAGCCTCCTTGCAAAGTTAAGGTTTGTAGTACTCAATTTTAGAACCTGTGAGGAAGCACATAACAATATTGGTTCTCTACTCACTTGCCTCTCACCCTCCATGTCTTCACTCCACAGTCACTTCATACTGTCAAATACAACTTACAAGGTCTTATAATGTGGTTATAACATCATGCCTTCAAAAACAATCTGTACTCATAGTGGCTAATAAGCCATTAAGTGGCTTATTAATTAACCTGTTCAGCTCATGTTTACCAGGGGTGCCAGTATTTGTGGCACTATATGGTCAATAATCAGATGGCTGGTACTAAGGAAAAAATGAGGAAATATGATTTTACGCTGTGGAATTTTCTTGTTTTGCTTCGCTGGCCTGATTTTTTTTTGTACAGGTAGCCTTAGCAATAGCCACATGACAAGGTTGCATTCTGAATTGGAAGCACTTTGCAACAGAGACAGTGGTTTCTGGGGCTCATTCAAACAGCCCCTGGTGTAAATTGACTGTGGCACGATGGTGGTACTGTGAATCGACTCGCCTCTGCACAAAGCAGCCGTCTTTCCGCTTTTACAGTCTTTCTCAGCACAGCTGAAAGAGATAAATGCTCCCCTTCGGTTTGTTGTTAAGAACCAGGAGCATCTGTGTGTTCTCTTTTTTTTGCCAGTTTAATTGTCTCTTGCCTTCCAGTGGCAAAAGATGCAAGAACATGTTCTCTCTCTGACAGAGCTCTGAATTGCCACCTCTGGTCATGTTCAAAACCTAAAAGGGCCGAGATATAGTTATTAAAGAGAGTAGTGGAGGCATTTCTGAAACCGAGTTTATTGAGAGCGAGGCACGTCATCTGTCTTGCTCATGTGTGTTTTTTTTTTTATGCAGAAAAATATTTATATGGGTGAGGTAGTCTTTCACGAGTGATGTTTAATGAGTAAGTGACTGATTTCCTTGCATTGTGTTCTCTACCTGTTTAGATTTACCCAAAGCATAACTAAATGAAAACCATAGATCATGCTCTGTGCTCCGCAGCACTGCATCACTCAACTGATTCCAAATGCACCTATCAAACAGCGCATTACAATTTAATGAGATTACCCCTACCCAGCACGTTCCACCTGAGGTTTAGAAAGAGCTGAGGAGGGAGAGGCCCCACAGCTATTGTCTGTCAGCAAGTCCTTGCTGCTGGTGTCGGAGCGTCTAATGTGTTCCAGCAGTGCCACTAAAACAATCACAGTCCGTAACAAGTCAGCTCCGTGAAATACAAGCAATCGGTTAACCTCCCAGCTCATCTGCGCCGCTTCCCTGTGGACCCTGCTGTGTATTATTCTCCATTCTCTCCGTATTAACTTTCATAAATAAAGTTGTGAATATTTCAGCAATGTGCCTGCCTTGTCTGGACATGACATGAGCCTCTTTAATAATGCATTTCCTCCCTCTTTCTCTCTCTCTCTCTCTCTCTCATTTGTCTCTCTTTCCCCCTTTTCTCCTCTTTTTCCTCCTACAGGAGAATATGTAGTGATGACAACATATTTCCATCTAAAGAGGAAAATTGGCTATTTTGTGATCCAGACGTATTTGCCCTGCATCATGACGGTAATCCTCTCCCAGGTGTCCTTTTGGCTCAACCGTGAGTCTGTGCCAGCGCGCACCGTTTTTGGTGAGTGTTGCTATTCATGTATAATCTCCTTAAGCCAAAATGAAGTCTTCTCCTTTATAAATGTGATTCTTGCTGTTGTTACTTTTATTACAAAATTTGAGCTGGCAAACATAATAATAATCTGCTTCACACTTCAGTTGTCTTTCATTGTTACTCTGATGGAATTAATACAGTGCATACAACAATAAAGGCAGCATTGAGCTTCTTTTACAGAATACTAGAAAACATGGTAGCACACAGAAAGCTCCAGTTTCACATGCTTATACATTTTACTATGAAGAATGTGGACATGCATGCATCCATACTATTCTTAGGGCAGATTTTAATGAGTTAAAAGGAATAAAGCCCAGTGTATTGCCAATGCCCTTCTCCTGAAATTCGCAAACTATCAAGCCTCTTCTCAGAAGCAGTGAGGCTCCTGACTGCTGATCCACTGTCAAAATTATGAAAGTACATCAAAACAAGCTCCACATTTGGGAGAACACTTCTATTTTTTTCCCATCATTCTTTTCTGTCCCACTGCAAGACGCTTTCGACAAACGAGCGCACTAGGGATGGTATTAAAAAGTTGTGCTCGGAGCAAAAGAAAAGTTTTGAGTTTACTGAAGCGCATGGCAGGGAAATCGCTGAGCGGCCGGCACGCGTAGGCCTGGACAGTGATGGATTCGGTTTTGAAAGTGTGCAGGGATCAGTGGACTGACCTGTAATTACTGCAACCGCCGCAGAGGCACCTAATTAATTACAGATTAGCTGGACCCAAACTAGGAGTGAGATGAAGTTGGAGAAGGCGAGGCTGATGGGCCCCTCTGGGGGGGAGCGGAGTGGGGAAGATAAAACCCGAAAGCGGCAGGATATTGGCGCAGGCCGGCAGGATGTTTAAGCCGGCTGGAGTTAAGAGATTATTGCTTATTGAGCTCGAGCTAACTTTGGCAAGGTGTCTGCCTTTGTCAACACTTTTTTTCCTACAGCTGGAGCATCAAGTGCAAAGCGGAGTTCATCCTGCCAGCTGCACTGTGGAAACATTATTTCCCTCTGCAATGAGCAACTTTCTGCAGACCGCTACAAAAAAGGAATCCATACACTTGCCAATTGCTATTGATGGAGGGGTTCTAGCCAAGTTGGGCTGAAAGGAAGCAGTTGTGGTTCAAGATCAAAAAAGTTTCTAATTTGCTGTTGGATGTCTTAAATCATTGCGAAAGCCAGCAGTTTTTTTTTTTTCAGTGGAGTTAGGAGTCAAAAGCTTTACATGCCAACTGAAAGTCATAAGAAATCTACAGTGCAAATAAAAAGTTCCTACAGACTCCCGTTGACCTGGGCTCTGCTAAAGCTGACCCTGTCACCAGTCCAGACGGCCCACACTCCAGACGAGTTATTTTAAGCCTTGTCTCCCGCTCTCTCTGTCTGCAGAGTATCAGAATCGCGTCCTTAAGCCTTTTATTTTTCATCTCGCAGATCAAAATGCATCTTTGAAATGTCAGACGCTATGTAAGATCGTTATAGCAGAGAAATGAGTGAAGAAATGTGAATAATTTATAACAAGGCAGCATAGACAAAGGTAACCTAGGACAAACTGTGTTTGTATCGAACCACCTGGTTCTTGCAGTAAACAAATACAAATGCTACAGAAAGGTCGAGCAATAAATGGAATTATAAAAGTATATGCTGGGAGCACAGCAGTCATTGGTGCTATATTTATTAGGGCTGTCACGATTCCTTGACTAAATTGATCATCGATTAAAATTTACATTCTCAATGACTCCGTAATTAGTTAGTAATTTGCATGTTTGTGATGATTAAATTACACTGGTCTCTCTTACCGTGAAAATCAAAAACGGACACACCCATTTATTGCTATTCTACAACTACAGGCACTTGCAAGCAAAAGATTTTTGAATATATGTATATGTTCACATCTTAGCATAATGAATAGAAAATCATTTACTGGTATCAAAACACATTTTCACATATTAAATTGTTGCAACATGTAATGTGTTAATGTATTTTCTGAAGCATGTTTTGGGTCAAATTACCAGTTTTATTCAGGTCCCACACTTGCGATATCAGTATTCAAATAGAAAAAGTTACTGAATTAAAAAAATACTTTTTAATTGAAATTACGATCAGAACCATACCATAACCATACCGCTTATAACTCATGTGTTTTGAATTAGACTAAAAAATCATAGTCATATTCAATTTAAATGTATTAGAAGTTGTCTACCAAGCCTAACGTAACAGACCACGTTGTTTGTCATTTATACTCAAAATAGAGAAAAAGTCTGTCCTTAACACAACTCACAAGACATTTAGATTACTTGATTACTAGTATAATCAACAGAGATAGCACTAGTACCATATAAAGCATTACTTACTATGTTATGATGATGAGGCAGAAGTCATATGTTTTAATTCTAGTCTCCAGAGGCTCAAATGTGACTAATAATGAGATTGCACTCTGGGTAAGAATCTCATCATTAACTGGCCGCTGGGTTTCACATGAAAAAGCCCCACAAAGCTGGCTCTTCACCTCCCCCCACTAGTCTCTACTGTTTTTTCTATCATGTGTTTCTCTGCTTTTATCTTTGTATCTCTCTCTCTCTTTTCTTTTTCTTGCTCCTGTTAGTCCTTGCCTGAGAAGCAGCACTTGAGAGTATGTCATGGCAACCCAAGTGCTTTATGATATGTGTGTGTGTGTGTGTACAGTTTAATCAGCGTTCCAGAGCCCAGCATTGTGTAAAGTGCAAACACACAGCCAGGCCTTACAAATGCTCGAGCTGATATGAAATGTGGCAGGAGGGTTTCCTTCGGGTTTCGCCCATGGTAATGCCACAGTCTTTCCTGAAACAGGCCGCAGAAAGGTCCATGCTTGCCTACATTGTTTGCGTTTTTTATGTAGTGATGGCCAGATAACTACAGTCAGTAGGAAGTGTTCCTTCCTAAACATAATATGCTTCATCCTAGACCCAGAGAAAAACTGCAATTAGAAACTACTAAAAACCTTGGAGACCAGCCAGGAGGACTTGGTTGAGGGAGCATCCATTCTTAGGTGGGCTAGAATCCAGTCTTATAATAGCAATTATGCCACTCAGGAGACCTTGCTGTACTTCAAGGGCATAATCAAAATGAACTGCTAACAGCTTGCTTAAAGTTAATGAATAATACATGACTTAAGAGTTTCATAAGCTTTATTAATAATTGCCAATTAGCATTTTTTTGTTCTTAAATTCCCAAAAAGTCCCTGACAAACATGCCTTGGGGAACTGCTCATGTATTCAATACTCTGGCCAATAAAGGAGTGATAGTTCAATGGTGGCAAGTAAGGGTAGGCAATAAAAATTTATATTACATAAGCTACTTTATGTATATGTAGTAAAGCAGGAAATGGCAAGGCTGCTTGCAGTCCCAGACTTAATCCTTACAGCAGAAATGTTAATCATAGCAGGACCAGGCAAAGTCCATCATTGAGTATCCCCAGGTCTTCAGATGTGCCTCAGCAAGCCAACAGCCAGTATAGATGGGCTGCTAGGCTCCAATCTGGAGGTCCTAATGAGGTGCAGAGCACAACCTTATTAGTATTCCACAGGGCTCGCGCCGCCGATGTCTGCAGACGTGATGAAGCAGCGTGTCAACTACAAGCCGCAGGCTGGCCACTGTGGGTAATAGAGCGGCCGGCAAGGTAGGGGGGGTGGGTGTTAAACAGAGTGTTCTTTCAGCTGCCCGGAGGTCGTGTACATCACATTTCTTAAACCTGGCTCGACTGAGCACTAACTCTGGGGATTTTTTCCTTCCCGACACTTCGTCCTCCTCTTCCCTGGGTGTCAGTCCCGACAGCAACCGCATGATGGCTGAGATAGCTCTCTCATGGGGAAAAACGTCTGCTTCTTCCTGCCTCCTCTTTTTCAGATCCTGGCCTCTTTGAAATTGTCAAAATATTGATGAGGAGAAACTACTCATTTGCTCCTTTTGAAGGCAACAAGCAAATCTCAGGCTTACATTTATAGGCCCATGCAGCAGCTCCCAAATGCCACTTGGACGTTGATATTTAATTAATCACTCATGCCCTGGATGGCTGCCAGCATTTTGAATCCTCCTCTGATGAGCATAACCCTGTATTTCATGTGGATAATCCTGTTTTATCATTTTCTCAGCAGCCCAAGTGTAATGTGTGATTTATGATTTGGCCACACATCCCAAACAATAGCCCACTGTCTTTGTGGACACAATAGCATCTCGAGTGACATTCTTTACTGCTGTCCCCCATATTTTTCTCCCCCATTGCCTGATGGAGATAACACTTGATGAAAAGTTTACTGAGAAGCTTCACCACTGTTCCTTGCTTAGGAACTTTGTCTCTTTGTCACCCGTAAAACAAAATGTAATTGTTTACAGCTTGATTTTATGGTAACAGACAAGGCATAATGAACGTCCTTCCTGATATTCTCAACACTGCAGTGTTTCCCCCCAATATAACTAAGTTGTTTTATTTATTCACCTATTGTACCATATTTGTTTGATCTCAAGAGCGCATGAACATGGAACAGACAGATCTCATCACATTAATTCAGATGTCTTACTTCAGAGACAGCAAGGTGGATGAAGCCTGCTCCCTGGCAGGCAGCACAATCCTGTCTGTGGTTTAGTCTTCTGCCAACGAGGCAGGTGGTAGCAGACCAAGTGGAATGATTACTTATATCTGCTTTAATGGGCACCTATTCCAGACCGTTCTTTCATTTCACTCCTGAAACTCTTTTCTCGGAATGGAAAACATCAAGCTACTGCACAATGACCTATGAAAAAAGCGTTCACACCAGAATTGATTTATGTCCTTCTTTTATTGAAATTCAAATATACGTTGTCGCCAAAACCCCGTAAGAGAAGTGTGGAGCTTTATTCAGAAGTGATAGACGATGGAGCCAAGTGGTCAAGCGTCTCGAGTTCTTATTCAGTAACTTTGCTCACAGGGTAATGCCAGGACTCTCAGTTTATGAGACCACAGTTCTGAAAAAAAATGTCTTCAAAGCTCATAGGGCCAGAGGTGTGTACGTAAGAAGGCACATGCTTGCAATGCGTCTGAAATTAGCATTTAATATACTAAGGCTGTTGCTAACCATGTAAACTGCTTACAGGAACACGCCCAGGAAAAAAGTGAAAAATCATGTTTAGTGATGAAGAGGTAGTGCTATCTCAACATTCTGCAGGGATGTAGGTCTACACAGGGTTTGTGTAACAACAATATTGATGCTATTGGAGTCACCAGGTGAACTCTTCCAAGTATTTTTTTCAGCCCATCTTCAAGCTTGTGCCCTCGTCTAGCCACTATGATTGCTGCCATTGTTAAAAGAAGTCTCTCAGCAGTATGCCTTAGAGACACTGCTGCCAATTCACTCCTGGTTTTTACTTAAAACTTAAACAAACAAAACATGCAATCAGCCACACTTCCAATATCTCCACCTATTTTTAGGTAAACCTTCCACATTGTTTACAGCCCTCCCTCAAACACATACAGTGAAGTCCAAAAGTGTGAGACCACACTTAAAGTCAGGTATTTTTATTCCATTGAAACCTGCAAATAAACAGCAGAAAGTTTAGAATCTTGGAAAGTTTAAAGCAAAGAGAAATTATGACAATTAAAATAAAGAAGACATTCAAAATACGGCACTATATCTCTGTTCTACTCAAATTAAAGCAAATTTGTGAAACTGACAATGTAAAAGCCTTTGTACAAAAAGGTCAGGTTATTTTTAAGTCTTACTTCTTTCACTGAAACACATGACTCTCAGGTAGATTTATTCTACTGATCAGAGGCTTTTTTGCACAATGTCCATACGAGCTTGAGCATTTGCTGTCATTGAAGCAAAACAGAGATGTTCCAAATGCTAAGAAATTCTGAATTTCATGTAAACATTTAAATATTGTACTTTTCACTCAAATTGTTATACTGATAATATCATTTGTAATCAAAAAGGAATGCAAAACAAAAGCATTTTAAGTGGTTTCAGATTTTGGACCCTCTTGTATGAATGAGGTACAGTATGTGGTGCTTAAGCTGCACATATAGTTGTGTATGCCAGCTTTGTACATAAATACATGCATTTTTGGCCTGAACGCAAATTATTTGCACCTGGAAAGACTTGGAAAGTACATCTGACGCTCAGTCTGCTGATGGGTCCTCATGCCAAAGAAATGTGGTCAGTGTGGATCTCAGTCCAGTGAAAAAATATGAGAGGGTCTGAAGACTCTGTATCTCCTGGTCTTATGATACTGAGATCCCCTAAAGAAGCATTCATCCAATTTGCTTTTTAAATCTCTCTACACTTGCAGTTCATCTGTGCTCAGCCACATTTAAGAAGCAGTTCCACTAATCTAAAGCTGTACTAAACTGGACATGCACCCCCTGAATCCCCTACTCTTTTTTCTCTTAGTGCCTGTCAAAATTATGTAACACTTCCGTAGCATATCTGCAGTGGTATTTCACCCCCCCCCAAAAAGCCCCTTCTTTCTATACTGTCATCACAGTTGTCTTGACAGATGGCGAGGGACCGGCATGCACCAATGCAGCACCAGCACTTTATCAATACTCGGATTATCATGTATTACTTTCTCAAGGTCCCATATGGGCGGAAGGGTACTGCTGCATCCAGTGGTGCACCCAAACCTCCAAACAACAACAGAACAAATATCGGCATGACAGCGGAGACTCCTGAGGTTACGCTACGCTGCCAAGGCTGGCTCACACATGATGTGTCATCTGAAATAAGTCCAAAATTGCTGAGTCAGAGCACATGGGCACCATGGTCTGAGTCAGTGGGCATCAGTCTATGTTACAGAGGACCCAAAGACATAATGCAATGATTTAGAGGTCATTTGAAGAAGACGCAGCACCCTCATCTAATCAGATACCATTAATATCTAGTATACTGACACACATACTGGTCCTTGCTGTCACCTCAACAGAGGTCAGTAGGGAGTTGACAATGCAATCTATTATGCAAAGTAAAATTAAGTAAGTAATTTCAGAGTTTAACATGATTACTTTGAATGTTTTTAGGCAGTCAAGTGTGGTAATTAGGTTTCAGTTTAAAAAGCCAAAGAGTGATGGCTCATCTCATATGTAAACATGCAGTATTACTGTCATATTAAAACCCTGTAACATATCATGATGAATGGAACAGTAGGATGGTGTAAAATTACATGGAATACAATCGTGTTGCATTTTTTTCTTGCTTCTCTTTGCTTCTCCTGTAAAAAAGATGGTTCTTCAAGGGTTCTTTAGCAAATAGTTCAGTTTATAACCATGAATTCAATATAGAACCATTTCAGATTGATGGAGAATGTGTTGTGTATATGATTCCATATAGAACCTTTTTTAAAAATAGCATCAAAAGAGTTCTTTTGTTATGATGTCAACCCTTTTTGGTGTTATATATAGTACCCTTTTCAAAAAGGTTGTATATAGAACCATATACAACACATTCTCCATCAGTCTGAAGAATCATTTCACCATGCAAAGAACCATTTATGAATGAAATGGTCCTATATAGAACTGATGGCTCTAAATAGAACCATTGCTTTTACTAAAGAACCCTTAAAGAAGAGGAGTATACAATTTCAGAGATGTTATACATTTGTTTTACTAGTGTAAACCCTCTTTTGTTTCCAGGCGTCACCACTGTTCTGACTATGACCACGCTAAGTATCAGTGCCAGGAATTCCCTACCCAAGGTGGCCTACGCTACAGCCATGGACTGGTTCATGGCAGTGTGCTATGCCTTTGTATTCTCAGCACTCATTGAGTTTGCTACGGTCAACTACTTCACCAAGCGCAGCTGGGCCTGGGATGGCCAGAAGGAGGGACAGGATATGCGGGTAAGCAGAGTCATGACGTTTTCTTTTCCTAATCAGCTTTGTCTCATGTCACAAGAAGAACAACCTGTGATGTATAGTCAACTAAGATTTTCAGACATTGCATTCTCAAAGCTTATTCTGATTCTCCTCAGGGAGTCTTTTGTTGTGTGATTATTCTCTGCAGGATATGAATCATAACTGAGAATATTTTCTGCCCATCGGAAAGATACAGATACTAGCAATCTAGCCAAGGACATCCACAGTTATCCTACGGTCTCGCATCTTACAGGACTTTATCTTCAGAACTTACCCAGACAGTTCTCAATAAACACCTGCAGTTCTCATTAAACAATGGTATTATGAACAGTATTTTAAAGCTACGGTCCCTTGGAATGCTGTGCTGTCTCTATTCTCACTAAAATACCCTGTAGATGCACCAGAAATCCCTAACACACTGAGAAATCTCAGAGTCATTCAGGATCATTTTATGTTATCTGTATGTTCTTTTTTCAATGGATTATAGACTGCTGCCTTTGACAGCTCACTTGCCGAATTACATTTCATTGCTTAGTCTCTTAGAGAATGTACAGTATTTATTCAGGCAAAGAGCTGTAGGTGGGCAGATTTTGACAGCCTCAGGACACTGTGGCTTCAGCACTGCCACAACACACAATTCTCCTTGGCCTGTGTGGGCTTCCTTGTAAAAAGCTTGTCAACATTGTCATTTTTCAGCGAGATTGCTCCTGCTCAACGAGTCCAATGCGCATCCTCATTCTCTCGCAGCTCTCTTTGCTCACTCCTGCTTATTGCCTCTTTCTGTCCTGGTCCTGATAACCTCTGAAAAATGAAGCACTCTGAGCTAATGGCTGGGAAACACTCTAAAAAAAGCTTAGCAAGAAGCCATGTTGTTCTCAGGATGAGGGGATATTGTACCTGCAAAATGCTGATATAAATATTCCAGTTCATCCTACTGTAGTCAGCCTTGTATAATCTGTTAAGGAGCGCTTTATTTATTCATTAGTCGTTCGATGGAACAGCAATTTCAGCCTCAGCAGAAAATGCTGAAAATGGATGAAAACTTCTTTTATATACAAACTACAAAAAGCTCTAGATAGCACATCACATAGCTGATAGCACCGATACACTTGGACAATGATAATTAAGGTTGGCACTTACATAAGGACCCAGTTCTGCGAAGTGTTGAAGCCATAAAATGCCTCATAGACATTGCTCAGTAGGTGCTGAATTTGTGCTAAAAGTTTTAATACAGGCAGAGATCTCTTTTATGTGGGTTCTTTGCGAGGCATGCATCAGTGGAGGAGAAAAAGGTGAATTTTTTTTTAACATTTCTGAATGCCAAGCTCTTCTTTGATACAGGCTTACTTAGCTTGAGCTTTGTTTTGGCACTTGTACCCTTCAATCTGCTCTCATCATGAAACCTTGTGTCTCCATATTCACCAAAGCACTTCACATTAACATAATACAAAAAAAAAGAGCATAGAAAAATGCAAATGCACCAAATACACCTAAGAGACCTTGAAACTTCTTTGTTTTACCTTATTTGAGGTGTCAAGTTGTGATATTCTGTCACAGCACATATCCATCGCAGTGACTGGCACTATACATGCCTGAATAAACATGCCTGTGGCTTATGTGAAAGCTGAACATGTACAGGACCGTAGCTGATAAGAAAGCTGAATATGTATGACTGTAGCCGACATAAAAGTCCCGCCCATCCGCTGATTTTTTCTGCTGAATTATCATAAAGACCAGCCTCTTTTTGGTCAAACCCTGTTCTGCCTGGTGCCTGGTTTGTCTTGTGTGCATTCAGGCTCTGCTGAGCAAGCAGATGTAGCAATAATTGGATATGTGAGACAGGCTTCACTACACTGCTCCGATGATAGGGCTTGGGCCTCTGGTGCCACAGGTGAGCCCCCACTCACAACTCCATCTGAGACTGCTTTCTAACTAGCTGGGCTTTTTGAGCTTGAAAAGAATGGAACGGCTATTTGTAAAGAGAAAATAGAGCAGCCGAAAGCGCCTAGATGACGAGGAGGGGCAAAAATTGAAAACTGAATCACCTGGCTCGAACGCGTATAGATGAAGCCAGAACTGATTTTCTATAGATAGAAATAAAAAGAGGAGAGGTGACAAGAAAGAGACCAGATGAGGCAGGCAAGAAGAAAGAGAATGAGTTTCGAGGGCAGGGAAGGGAAGAGCTAAAGAAAGAATAGGATGTTTGTCTCTGTAATGACTAACCGAATTGCTACCAGTCATCAGGTAGATTCTTGACTGTGGTTCTTGAAGAGGCACGTCACAACCAAAGTGGATCTTCTCCTTATCTCTGTGTGTGAGTGGTGCCTAACTGCAAACATTAGACAACAGACATAACTCGCAGTCTGGAGTTACTCTGCTCACCTCTAACTGCAGTTCTACTGGACTTCTGTATCAGTTACATGATGAGCCTGATGCCTCCCTGGTCTCATTTGTGTTAGGAACATCAGACAAGGTTACAGACTGATGTGATTTGGCTCAGAGGACACCATGTCCTCCGTGGCCTGTCCTCACCAGGACAGAATACCAGAAATTCTGTCACAAGTGCCAGTTCTTTACTTCAATGTCATGTTTGTGTTAATAATTAGAAGATTAGATGTTTGATTATGATTTGAATTTGATGAAAAGTTGTTGTGAATACAGTCTTGTTTTTACGGAAAGAAAAAACTTCAATACATTTAGATAAAAGACAGATATTCAGACTCAAAGGTGTCAATATACAATGTAAATTTAATGCATATGTAATTCATTTTGTAACTTACTATGTAATTAAACCTAAAATTATGTAATTACTTTTAAATAATACAGCAAAACATAATAACTATTAGTAATAACTCAGCTTCTAAGGGTTAATAAAGACATTACAGCATCATAACCCAGTACATTATACTAATGAAGTCATGTTTTCCATCTGATTTCAAAGACACAGGCATCAGTAATCTATCCAAGGACATCTTACTCTCAGCTTCAGAATCAAGTGAGGCAGTACTCAATAAACACAGGACTGCGGTTCTCAATAAACCATGTATTATGAGCAATATTTTAGAGCTGCCACTCTTTGGAATGTTTTCCTCTCTATTTTCTCAATAAAAAAGCCCTCTAGATGGAACAGCAATCCATAACTCCCTGAGAAATCTCAAAGTCGTTCAGGGTGATATTATGTTATCTGCAATATTTTTATTTTTTCCAACGGCTTATAGACTGCTGTCCTTGACAGTTCACCCACCAAATTATGTTTCAGTTGTTAGTCCCTTAGAGAATGTGCAGTATAAATTCAGGCAAAGAGCTGTAGGTGGGCAGATTTGACAGCCTCAGGACACCCTGGCTATGTGACCTAGGCTGGCCAGTGCTTGTCTCAGCTACTCTCACTTAATGACAACAAAGAAAGTAAGGACTGTTTGTATGTGGTATCTCTTGGATTTCAGAGTGGTCATCTGTGACTGTGGAGTTAACTTCTGAGTACTTTTTAGGGAACCAAAAAATGGCTCTTCTATGGGATCACGCCATAGTATTCTTTCTGACACCTTTTTTTTTTAGATAAAAATCAGAGACTCCAATTTTTCAGTGTTTCGTGTGTCCGCTCTTAGATTAGAGCCTATATTAGAGCTTCCATTCTATTCTAGATACTTGCTTTCAGTTTGCAGGGATATTTTCCTGTACTTCTTGTAAACACCTCCAAAGCTCAGTCTTAGAAGTTGGCTGTATTTGCAGGCTACTCACGATCCAAGTAATCCCAACACCTTCAATGGTGTTGACTCTGGGGTAGCTAATTCATTGTTCTTCTGTGAACACCAGCATCTTCTCAGCAATGTGCTTATGATTGTTATCTTGCTTTAAAATGAAGTTTCTTTCCAATTACAGGTTTTCCAGAGGGTATTACATTGATGTATTGACATTTGTTTGTACTTATGAGCGTTCATGATGCCTTTAATGAAAACCAGATCACTTGCTCCAGAAGCAGTTATACATCCCCAGACATGCACTGATCCATGCCTGACTAATGGTTGTAGACATGGTCCAAAGACTCTTTCATTGCCTCAGCAGCTTACATATCGCTGCTGTTGGAAAAAACCTTGTATCTCCATCTTCGTTTTCCAGTTTTTGCCACAATTGGAAAATGCCTGATGCCCTTTACATTGTTTGTACATTTCATTATGAATGAGCCAAAAGAAATGGTCCCAAATTACTTAGGAAAAAGTCTGGTTCCATTAAACTACATTAAAAGTGAAGTATGTTTTTACCTTCTCCTGTAAAGTTCTTAGTTTGAAGATGCAAGGTTTTGTTCTGACAGCAGCGATACTGTGTTATTTTCTTCCAAAGATTTTTGAACTCCATTTTTGGAGACTCTTGTTTGCTTATTTTCCTTTGCTTTCCTTATGCAGGTAGATTGTCTTATATCTAATCACCTCCAAAATATTACCTGAAAAAAGCATAACATAGTTAATGGCCATTTTGACTAGAAACACAACAAACAACAGGGTGGAAAGGGGAGAGCAGGTGCACTAGTTTATGATTAACCTTGCATACCAGAAGCGGAAGATTTCCATTTTGTGTTTGCAGTGTTGAGGAGTTGAGAATAGGAAATAGGAAATAGAGACGCATTATCACAAGGGAAGAGCTCATTTTAATTCTTGCATCTATGCTAATTTTTAACCTATTTTCAGCATGTGTAGGTCTTTGCATGTGTATGTCAGAGTGTGTGAGACAAAGGGAGAGCTGAGCAGAGCATTAGCGCTGGAGAAAGGCAGCATTTACCTTGATGAGGGATTTAGAACATGTTTAATTCATGCTGCCTGACAGTTAGTGCGTTACACACTGGGCCGTAATGGGGCTGCACTGCATTCTGGTCCCAGTGGCATTACACATCCTCTGTAGCTGTCAGCATAGCCACCATGCCCTGCAGAATAACACCTCCACACACACTCAGGGTCTAACATAGCAGTTTAAATATCCATGTAAAGTGGGTG